ATATATATACACACACACACAAAATAGTTAATTAAAGGATGAATCGCATCCTTAGCGGCCTCCACCTGCCCTACCCTGAGCCTTGGTGAAGGAGGTAAATCGCAGATTATGCTTCCAAGAGTACAGGGCGGAAGACTGTTTGTACACTTGCACTTACCAAAGGCACGCAGAATAGTTAATTAATATGGTGTTAGTGCATTTTATTGCGTTCCTCATTTTCATTATAGATATTGACAGGCATTAGAGCTAAAAGTTCAATTCAATCATTTATAATATCGATTTAAATGATAATGGATCCTATCGATTTATTTTTATAATAAATTAACATATTCATTAAATAACGAATACCTAAATTAGTGATGTTATATGACATCATTCGATAACCTATTGGTTTATTCTATCGATGTTGTCAAAATTACACTGGTTACATTAGTTCGACCAGTAAAATGGATAAAAAGTCTCATTTTAGAAATCATTAAAGCAATCGAAGAATCAACCGATTCACTACACCCCCACTAATAAATATATAAATTTTTTATATTAAATGGATTGCTTTAATTAAAATAAACTAGTACAAGACATGGGGCATCTTACCATCAGTCTAAACGAATTGTGTATCAATCTCGACAACATTAATTGGCCTTACAAATGATCCAGAATTGTTTTACTTTTATCAATCAATAGTTTAAAAAATGTCACATTATTTCATTAATTCCAACCAAGGTAGGCATCACGTTCGCAACTATTAAAAATGTCCAATTAAAAATTTTATTCATGTCACATGATTTCACCTAGGTTGGAAAAAAAATTGTGGTGATTTTTTTCAAAAATCATTTTCCTATCGAATTTCAAGTTAAAAACAATTATTTCAGCCAAATAATAAACACTAATATAACATTGAGGGGTTGCTCAATTGGTCAGGCCTTGGATTTGCTCCTCAATGGTCACCAGTTCGAACCCTTCAGGACCACTGAGGTGAGTATCCAACCGTAAATTTCAGGATTTTGTGGGGATTAGTTGAGATGAGCGCAAATTGGACCGAACATCCACGATCAATGTTCTAAAATGCGCAAAAATGCGCCGCCTAGGCGGGAAGCGTAGAAAACGCGTCAAATTGGGCAATGCGCGTAAAAATGCAGTCAACGATTTTTGTTGACTGCTTAAGCGCGCGCCTATGTGCGCATTGAGATGCCCAATTTTTTTTTTTTTTTTTGATATGATATAAATTTTTTTT